AGTCATATACCCGCAACATCATTCTTCAATAGTATTGGACGCCGTCATCTCAACACTCTTACTTGCCATTAATGCTTGCTGATCCTTGGTATTGCCATGGTCTTGAAATCAATTGCCTCGTGTATAAATGCGAACATCATCGTTTCGAGTTCCTTTGTAAGCATATCGTAAGCTGACGCTTCGTGCCGATATAGTCGATCTCAGAAATTCTTCTTCCAGTTGTCGCGAATGATTAGCCTTATGTCTATATGCTTGCCAGAACATGTTATCCGGTGTTGTTGGCTAAAGCGGGCGTTATTTGGTTGTCCTCCCCCAATCTTAAATGCGTTATACTTGCTCGAGACCGATGCCCTTGAGTATCGCCCGCGTTCAAAGAACTTCATTTGTGCAAAGGCAAAGAGCCCGATACTCAGCCTCCACCAAACTGAGTGGCATGGTTGCTGGTACTTAAACTCAAACACCCTCCGCGCTCTTGCAACCATGATCATAATATCTGAGACCAACTCTCTATCATCGATGTTGCTACCCCGACCAGCATCTGAATATTCCTCTAACTACAATGGTGTCTATGCCTTGATAGACTATACCGGTTGAGCGTATATTCATCAGGTGGTGTAGCACGCGCGTAATTGAGTTCCAATGTTGCAGTCTGGAATTCTCGTGGCATACATACGTATGCAACATCCTGTCAAGTATATCACAGCTGGCATCCAGCCTTTCTAGCTGACTTACTTATGTATTGACATTGTCAACACCCCGCGTAACGTTGTTTGCAAGCAAACTGATTAGAATGGTAGTAGTGATAACCAGCTGTTTCATTTGTAAGCTGCTTTCTGCACACTCCACACTATTTTTTGGTTTAAATTTATGTTAACGATCAGAGGATATGTACGACGAAACCAAACTCATTTATTGCTTGAACCCCCTTCGCAAAAAGCAGTGCCTTGTACCGCACATCAGGGCAATTTTAGTCACAACCATTTTCGTCCAATGTTGCGATTTTCTCCTCTTCAATTTAATTACCATGGGTATTGTTGCTTATGGGAGTGACACTCAGCTTCGATAGCTATACGCCAGTTTGCTGCATTGTCGCTTGTCATTGCTCGGACATATATAGTCGGCAAATCAGTATCATCCGTACTTTTCACCTTTTACGCAAGAAAAGCTCTGATAATGAGTTCGTCTTCGTGATGTCTGGCACATTTCAAT